GGGGGGGGGGGATGTGCACAGTCCAGACAGCCTCCCTGAAGAGAGACTGCTTTATTCCTCCCTTAACCTATGGAGTGTCTCACATGGCCTGGGGCTTTGAAATGGAACGTTATAGATTCGTGACAAAAAAGGAGTCACCTACCCACCATGAAAAATTACAGTACAAATAAAAACTTGAAGAGAGGCCAACAGAATAAGTAAGGAGCTCTTGGGCAATAGTGCCTGGATTGCACTTGTGGAACATTAACCACGTAGTTGGTTTTTAATTTATGTCACTTGTGTCATGGGACCTCGTCCTAGAGCAGAGAGCTGCTGTGCTGCTTGCCTCACTCACTGGTGTCATTGAAAGGGACCTTCTCCTGGATCACACTGCTGCTCTGCTCCAGCTGCCTGCTGAGCTCCGTCTGGTACTTCTTCAGCTGCTGTTGGCTGCAGACAAGAGGCAGACACACCCCGGCCGGAGTCAACTGACCAATCAGTGACCCCGAAGCAAAACCAGCACCGACCAATCGCTACGTGACTGCTCAAAATCCTGTGTGTGTGTGACTGACAGGATGCCGATGAGGTCACTGGGCGGCTGCTCACCACTCGTCCGTTCGCAGGCGGCACTCCTTCGCCTCTCTCTCCAGTGTCTGCGCCTTCACCTGCAGGCAGGGGATCCAAACCAATTCATTGGAAGCATCATTACCGCCCCGCCCAGCCATCTGCCGCATCGCAGCAGCTCCTCCCAGGTGAATTCTTCTTCAGTCTCTTCCCATAAATCTCCCCCCACAGTGTCTAGCTGCCACTCTTCAGTGCCAAAAACCTCTAACACCCTTGCACCCCCCACAGAAATCCCTAATTTTAACACCTAGCCTACCTTAGTAAAACCATAAACCGTGAACCTAATCACTAGGACGGTTACTGTAATACGAGGTGACCAATCAGACGCTGCTCACTGCGGAACATTCAGCCAATCACTGAAGGAGCACCGGTGTGCACGGGGAGCGTCAGGTGACCTTACAGGTGTCGAATCATGCATTTTCAATTCTAAGGTTTTACGTGTCAGGATAATCTTCGGCATTTACCCCTTATTACCATATTACACACCTGAATGCTCCAGACCAGCAAACTGCCAAAAGTTCCGCTTTTACAGAGCTGGTCACAGTTGCTGATGATCAAGTAATCAAGTGCATTTGATTAGCAGCAGCTGGATGCTACTGACCCACTTAATTCCTACAGAAGCAGTAAGGGTTTATACTCAGATCCAGAAAGTAAAAATCCAAATCAATCAACCAGTTAAGTATAAAGAGTCAGTCACAGAGCACACAACTGGTTGGTCGAAACAAAATCTCAGTCTGGATTTTTACTTTCTGGACTTGAATTGTCCACCTCTAGGTGTACTTAATTTTTCCACACACTGCTTCTGCATTTTGGCTTAGTTGTATTGAATATATGATGACACGGTGTAACATGTCACGTGTTGCTGTTCGTCTGAGGTTATATTTACACCATTTTAAGGACCAGGACCAGATGATTTTTTATTATGTCCTGATACATAAAGCACAGAACTGAGAGAGGGTGCACTTTCTTTTTCACATGACTGTAAGTATGACTTGTTGGGCCACCGTGCTGTTACATCTCCTGACCTCCAGCCGGGTTTTGTCCCTCTGCAGCTTCTCGATGGTCTCTGTGTACTTCTGGTTGAGCCCGTCCACCACGCTCTGGTGCTGCTCCGATTCCTGCTCCAGCCCCTCCAGCCGGACCCGAAACTCTGCCTCCTGTCGACGGTGCTGCTCGTCCGCCTCGAAGAACTGCGGGGGGTGGGGAGGGGAGTAAATCTGCTTGCCTCTGTGGACTTTCGGTTATAGTCTAACCCAGTATTTCCCAACCCGGTCCTCAGGGACCCACAGTCGGTCCATGTTTTTGCTCCCTCCTGGCAGAGGCAGTAGGGAGCAAAAACGTGGATGTCTGTAAGTCCCCAAGGAACAGATTGGGAAATACTGGTTTAACCAGACACAGGTGCAGATCAAACAGGAGAACCTTGCATTATGACTGTCGGCAAACTCAAGGTCAGTGGGGGCCTGCAGCCCATCCCAGGAAGCACAGGACAAGGGAGGCAGTAGCACTGGTGGGGTGTGAGTCCACTGAAAAGCATGCAAGCACCCAACACCTGTACAGGATGTATCCCTCATCTTCAGGCTGGAGCGTGACTGTGCCGCTCGCCCTCACCTGGATGTGCAGCCTCTCGTTCTCCTGGATCTTGTTCTTCAGATCCTCGTTAATCACACTCTGGGCCTGCAGGCCCTGCTGAGAGGGCGAGTCGCCTTTGCTCTGTGCGGACAGGTGCGGGACGAGAAAGCCGTGGATCATTCCTCAGACTCCCTCAGACTCCCTCACCCGGCATGCCCTTAAGGTTTGCCCCCGCCCCCACAGCCACCACACACCCCCGGCCCTCATACCCGGCTCTTCTTGCCCTTGGCCTCGCTGGCAGCCAGTTCTCCCTGCAGAAGCTCCACACGCTTGGCCAGCTGCTGGTTTCGGAAGCTCAGGCTGTCCATCTCCTGCTCCAACTTGCGCAGACTCTGGTCCTTCTGCTTCAGCTGCTCCTGGAGGCGGGAAGGGCAGATGCTGGTGAGGAGTATGGTCACCCTGGGCCGAGGCTTCCTGCATCATTCTCCTCCCAGCTTTCAATCATGCGATTATAATTATTTAAACATCAAGGCCAATTTTTCCTGAGAAGCTTTTGCAATTCATTCTATGCAATTAAAATGAACTAATGTCTGGCATTAAAATCCATCAAGATAAGGAACTGCACTGAACAGACATGCCCGCTGGGCGGGACTTCCTGTCTGCAGTGGTGCAGTCACAATTTCTTGATGCGCAGAGCTGGAAACATCCATACTGACATAATTGGATTTACCATGGCCTTCATTCCAGGCAGCAAAGACATTAATGGAAGTTCAGAAAGTACTGGAGTGGATATTTTTCAGAACAGCTGAATTTCCCTGGAGGCAGAACGACCAGAGTGAAGGTGATGGGTCAGTACCTTAAGAGTGGCTGAGGATGCTTGCTCATCCACAACCGCCTTCTTCAGGACCTGGTTCTGCGCCCGGAGCTGCAGGAAAAAAAGTTAATGCGCACACACATGCAGAAACTTTACGACGACTGCCATTACTCATCTTCCCGGCACAGCAGGTGTGACTGCTGCCTGTTGACCAGAACCACTGTCTCATGACATGGGTGGGGGGGCACTCAAAGGTCTTGCGCACTTAAGTATTACGTGACAACTCACATTCTCATTAACTCACTCGACCCGCCCCACCCAGATCCGGGAGTTACAGCGAGCAAAGCAGATTCATAAATGAGTGAACATTAATCTCAGAAGCAGGGCTGCAGACTCTGGACTCATGTTATAGATCTCAAATGCCTGCCCGTTCTTGTAGCCATAAACTACACCTTATAGAGACTACTCGCAAACCACATAAATAAACAAGATCTTGCTCAATGGGAGCTCAAATAACCAGTATTTAAAATGACACAAATCTAAACAGCTAAACCCTACTGCTTTTCAACAGTGTACAAAACGCAACAGCAACAAATAGGAACGCAATTCACAGGCAAAGAACACTGAATGATGGCTTAAACTACCAGAAGACTTCGCCTGCAGAACTTTACATGTTCTGCAAAAGTCCACTTCATGCACTGAACATGCACTATCAGTACCTGATATTATATGGCTATCAAAATTTCCATCTGTTGCTTTTATTTTGCTCGGCGTGCCTGCTCTCATTGGGAATAATTACCGCCTCGGCTCCTAATCACTGTCCACCCCTAATCCGCCTTAAGACCGCATGGCTTGGGGTGAATCCAGCAGTTCCAGCAGAGGACACAATCCCGTTTAACAGCCCCCAGCATCTCCTTACCTTTGAATACTCCTGGGCCAGCTTGCTGTATTTCGCTTGCAAGTCGGAAGCCATGGTTCCTCAGTCAGCAGAAACACCCTGGCTAAAGGCGCCCGAGCCCGTATGAGGGTGAATCTGTCCCAATCAGCTGCTACCCACCCTGGTACCGCTGTCAGGCGCGATCACTGCAGCCGACGTGCCCGATGCATTTCGCTAATTACGCGGACATCCTGATCGAGAACGGCGGCCTGCGATCTGAATGGAAATAGGCAGCGCCGATGCCAGACGGGAGGATAACACACCAGCCGAGTCAGCGGTGTGCAAAAATTATACCGTCACCCGTTACCAGTTTCTGTCAAAAGCCGCGAAGCGGTGCCTAACGAGACCGCGCCGAAGCACAGGGCATGTGGACACGGAGGGGAGAGGCGTCCGGCGGCGTAGCAGATCAGATTGGGGTTAAGAGACACCGGGCCGATGCGGCATCCTGCCCGGATCCAGGCGCTTCCGGTTAGTCGCTCCGAAGCCCATCAAAACAACCAGCGCGGGGGCGAGTCTTCAAACGTCATTCGTAGTGAAACGCTAATGTTATGTCGCCCTCCAATGTTTGGATGAGTAAACTACATATAATCGTTTTCTGATTCCGTCCATCTTTCAGCCGCTTATCCCTAAATCAGCATCGGGCTTGCGTAGTTCAAACCATACTGGTATCTCTACTGCTATATAAAGAATGTTAAATGTTTATTGAACAGAGGTAATTGAATTTGAAGGGAGGCTGCTGTATCTTCTGATCGAGGTGAGATGGTGTTTGTCCCCTAAAAAAGTAAACACTTTGATACAACTCAGTTAAAATGATATGGGATCACTTGCATTAAACAGAAATTTATCAACCACCTAAATTTCACAAGGAAGTGCAGGGATAAGAAAGTTGCAGGGGTAAATATGAATTTTAAATAGGATAGTGGGTCCAGCACTAGTCAATCATATATCCTCTGAGCTCATTGTAATTTCACACATCAGCCTGTCTAGTAGTCTAATTATATCTATGCTCCCTGACTGATTGTTCCTAGGAATTAAGTCATAAAAAGGACATGCAGTATATTGTTAGAGTCATGATTTCTCCAGCTAGCAGACACACATGATGTCTGTCCTACACATATCAGCACACACACACACACACACACACACATATATTATATATTCTCTTACAAACTGTCTCCCCTTCCCATGTTCACACACACACACATACACACAGACAAACTCAAACCACCTCACTGCCAGGGGCCCTTGCGCCGTCTGGTCGCTTAGCAACTGTTGGCTTGGTGCTGTTGCCAGGGCGGCGGGAGCTTGGGGGGAAGGGGTGTTCTGGTTTCCAGCAGCACTGAGGCGTTCGCCAGGGAGAATGGGGCCCGGCTGTCTGACAAGGCAGATGAGATGCCAGGGGATTCGACTGAACAATCGAGGTCAGGAGAACGGATTCGGGGCGTTACCAAGCAACCTCTGTCCGGGTGTCGCTTTGTGTTGGAGTCGTCCTCTTGATTAATTTACAAACAAGGAGGCAGCAGCGGCATGTTAAGGGGGGTTCTGTGTGAGGGGAACACTCAGAAGAGCCCAAGTCAGACAAAGCAGGAGAGAGTCCCGGGGCATGCTACTCCCCAAGTCCCACGCCTCCCTCTGAAAGGGCCTTCTGCTGGCTCTCTGCCTTTAAAACACAGCACATTAATAAAACATCCTCTTTCAGCTCTTATTGTGCATCAAGGAGAGTAGCATCCTTTGCAAGGTTTAAGGGCAGCGGAAACTGACGCCTGCTTGTACAGTTGCTCTGCCCTGCAAATTCTGACCCCTTTTTGAAGCGGGACAAGTAGTGGAGGAGGGTGCGAGCGGCGGCCCAGGCAGCTCTGGGTCTGACTTCCATATCACTGGGGCTCCACGCAGGGATGCCAGATGCTTGACCTGGGTATCAGACCCGCTAAAGGCCATTTGCAGGAGAGTAGAGAGCAGAGCTGTTTCTGGACTTGCTGGCTGGCTGGAGGCTCACCCTCAGCAGGCAAGAAATAAGGTATAAAAATAGCAGGAACAGATTTAGAGCAAACCCCTACAGGTGAACGGCATCGAAATCGGAGGAGAGCAGGGGCTGCAAAGCCAACTGCAGCGCCTTTAATCCGTACCTATATGATTCCATCTAATCAGTTTGCCTACATGAAAATGTAAAATAAGCAATTACTATGCCTTTAAAAAAGGAAAGTGTGTTCTCTCCCTTTTGCATATTAAACACAGAGACAAGTAAATCACATAATGCGGGTATGGGGGAGGCGACTCCCATCATGTGACCATTCAGAGACAGTAATTCTTGCCACTGAAGAAAAGATTCAAAAGGCAGTTTGCAGTTTTCAACATTCTGGCCTCCACACAGCAGGTGGCAATGTTGCTCAACAACAAACAAAAGGTTCCTTTCCAGGCTTCCTCAGACTTCCATTTTAAATAATGCATTACTCTACCCTTGTTACATCAAAGGAACAAAATAACCGTAATCAACCCACAGCACATACAGTCACAAACACACTAATGTCCCCTTTAAAAGTTCAGCAACATAAAACAACAGTCTTTTACACAACCATGGTAAAACAAGAATTTTTTTATTCGGTAATACCATATATAATGCAATTGCATATCTTTGGCGAAAATAAACTTTATAAACATTTTATTAACAGAGGTTAGCGTACAAAAACCAAAGGTTTGTCTGTCTAACAGACATGGCAGACAACTGACACAAACTGATACTGGACTGGCAGCTTTAGTTAGTTAAACATGACAAAAATTGCCATAATAATAATAATAATAATAATAATAATAATAATTTTGAAACTGAATCATCATTATCTAGTAAGAGTTCTCAAAAAAAAAAAAAAAAAAAACCTTATTTAACTAAACTAGCCTGAACATATTACCAGGTGAAGACAGTCAAAGACACAGTCGATGACATGAGTCTCACACTCGAGAGCTTCCTTCGCTGTGGGCACGCCGGTGATTATTCCCACCTACCCGCTGACAAACGCACACGCACCCGCTCACGGAATCCTGTTGCCCAGACCATCTTAATAATGGCCTGTTCCAGGGCCCCTACAAGCTCTGACAGACCCGCCACATCGCCGCCTTCACAGGTAGCGCCGTCGGGAATTTCCGGCAGTGAATTTTGCCCACAATCGGCATAACCAGGAGGGGTGACAAGGGCAGCATCTGACCACTATCCCCCCCCCCCCCCACTGTAAACCTGCATTCCCGTGTACATCAGTGTGCTTACATCCCAGCGGCCGTCACTAGCAGCTCGTGTTTGACGCCCTGCTTGTCGTCTCTCCTAGCTGCGGCTGCGATGTCCGTCACGGTGAAGGGCAGTTATGGTTTATGTAAATATCACGTGTTGTGGCAACTCAATTAATAACTAATACATTCCAGGCAGTACCACATTTTAACAGGGAGGATCTCCCAGACATCTGTCTGTCAGTGGAAGAACAGTGATTCCTGCTTATTTTCCCCTCCCCCAATCAATCTGTTAATTAATAAATTTATCCCTATCTGCTAGACAGACCCTAGGAGTTTGGCAATCATAAGGAAAAGAAGAAAGACAAAGACCTGATGCAGATGAATAACAATGAATATCAGGCAAAAATGATGGAGAACAGCATGAACGTTTCAAGCACATGCTCACCCAACACGAAGGTGGCAGTTTATGGCAGTGAAAAGATGGCGAGGTCAAAAGGTCAAACCTCAATGTCAGCTGACCGGATGAGGCCAGCGCACCCAATCGGTGACATAAACCACCCCCCCACCACCACCACCCCCACATCAGCACAAAGCATCCCCTCCCCAAGAAGAGCAGTGGATATGGTGAGCCTGAGGGGGTGGTCATACCTTTAGAGCAGAGGCAGTGAAGTTCTGTAAAACAGCAGGACCTGGTGGAGACATTTAACTTTGTCTCCTAATTGTGAAGTTCAAGTCATTATTGGGAATGAGGGGGAAAAAAAAACCTAATTTCAGGGGGTCCGGATGAACAACCAGCCACTAATTGGTAGCGCCCCCTGCTGGACAGTAACTCCAGTCCCCTGGGGCACCTGCACTCCTTATTAGGCAGCTACTGGCTGTCACTACGGCAAACCGCTCCGGTATCTCAAAGCCCTCCCATGAACAAGCAGGAGTCTGCCTCA